GGGGGGGGCTGAGGATGGGGCAGAGGGCCAGGGCCGCCGCCGTGGCTGGAGATGGGCAGAGATGGAAAGAGACCCAGAGACACGAAGAGAAGAGGCGACAGGACCTGAGGACACGGGAAGAAAGGCAGGAGGAAGCGGAAGGACCCAGGCGCGGCTGGAAGGAGGCCCGGGGGAGGGGAGTCAGAGAAGGGCGGACAGACAGTGTGAGAGGCCCAGACAGGGGTGAAGAGGGTCGCAGATGACAGAGGGAAGTGAGGCCCTGTGGGATCTGGGCGTGGGGTGGGCAAGGACAGGAAAGGAGAGGGAGAGCCAGGGAGTGTGGCAGACAGACACACACACACACACACACACACACACTCGCCCTTCGCTGAGACCTGCTGCTGGGGTTGCAGCAGTGGTTCCCAGCAGGCTGTCACATATTTGGTTGTCACAACCTGCATATGGGGAGGGGGGATGGTGTGTGTAGGCATCTGGTGGGTAGATGCCCCAGACTCTATCCAGCACCCAGCCCCCTTAGCAAAGAAACATCCTGGCCCAATGTCAGGAGAGGGAGCTGGAGGAATCCTGGGCTGGATGGACCCAGAGGCCCAGGGATGCAGTCACTCCAAATGGAGGGCTTCTCAGGGTGCCAGACCGTACCATCCTGGCGGGATCTCCCAAGCTCCTGGTCCCAGAGTCCTTCCCTAGCCACACCTTTCTCCCACGTCCTCCTCGTCCTCCTTGCCCCTACCACAGGTCCTGGAAGCAGTAGCACTTCCTTCCGTGAACACTCCCCATGTTATAGTGCAAACGGGCAGCTCAGACCTACAGCCAAGCCCCTAAAAGCACCAGGTGTGTCACCTGCCCAGAAGCAGTACTCCACACCTGTTCAGTGTGGCCCGGCCTGCCCGGGCTGGGACCCCAGCTCTTCCACACACTAATTGTGTGGCCTTGGGCAGGTTTCATAGCTTCTCCATGCCTCAGTTTCCCCTCTATAAAAGTAGATGTTGGTTCCATGAGGATTAAATGGGACAATCTAGGTGACACGTGTCGACACAGGCTTGACACATGGCATAGGGTTGCCAAATGCCACTGTCAAAATTGCCTCATTTTATCTGCATTTTGGGAGAAGGGGCTTGTGGGATGCATCATCCAGACTGTGTGGGGCAGAGCTGTGCTCAGAGTCCAGCTCTACCCGTTCTTCCTCTATCACACCACAATGTCTCTTGCTGCATCTGCCACACTGCAGCAGAAATCCCAGCTTACTTTCTCCCAGACCAAAGTGTCCTGTTTCAATCTGATGTGTCTTCTTGGTGTTTCAACATCCTGTGCCTCAGTTTCCTCATTTGTAAATGGGGCTTGCATCAGCATCTGATTGTTGTGAAGACCTAAAAGCAGAATCATGGCACACAGCAAGTGCTCAATAATCACTGATGGCGATTTCAATGTGTTCTCAGAGCCTAGCAGAGTGCCTGGCACAGGGACACACAGAGATGTATTGAAGGAAGGAAGAATTGGAGATTAGGTGGAAGTGAGACCAGAAAGAGGAGATGATATGCTGGGAGAAGAAAGGGCGTTCTAATAAAGAGTTCTGGGTAGAAGAGACCAAAGGGATGCCCATTTATTGAGCACCTACTGTGTGCATGCAGATGTGAGAGCAACGGTGTTTCAAGTCCAAACAACCTGTGGACAATTACGTAGGTCTGACTCGAGATGAACAGCACACACCAGGGCCTGGAGGGAGGGGGAAAGACAGTGGAGCTGGAGAAATGGGAACAGTGGTCGGAGGGAAGGAGAACACAGAAAGTGAAGAGATGCTCTGAAAGGGCCGGCCTCTGGGAGCATGAAAGAGTGGAGGCTAAGAATAGAGAGTGCGAGCAGGGTGACACAAAGGCAGGCTGGGAGGGATCAGTGAGGGGGACCAGCCGAGAAGGACTCAGGGCAGGAGACAGGCTGGCGGGTGGGGAACACATCTCCAAATAAACAAAGAGGGGTTTCCAGGAGGGGCAGGAGCGCAGCTGTGGGTGGGATGCAACCAGGGGAGGAGGTGAGACAGCCAGCAGGATGAGCTGGGCAGTGTGGTTCCCAAGGAGCCTCAGAAGCTGGGACCTGGAGGCCCTGCTGCCTCTGTGCACGGACTTCAACAGCTGGTTGAGATGTGACAGCGCGGCAGGGGCCGAGGTAGGTGGCCCTTCTGAGCCCTGTCATCCTTCACCTGCCTATCTGGCATTCACGGGGGAGGAGAGACCACTCAGGGGACCCCCAGCCCAAGACGAAGTGTGGAACTACGGGAGTCACTGGTCTTCATCCAGGCAACTTCACATTGATAATTAAGAGGCGGGGTGAGGCGTCTCCTCGGTGAGGCTTCATGGCAGAGAGATGAGAGTCAGGACAACCGGGCGGCAGAGACCAAGAAACCGGGCCAGGCAGAAAAGACACAGGCAGCAGGCTGGGGGATTTTAACCGAAGGGGCGAGCCAGCTGCAGGGGGTTTCTGGGCAAGGGGAGGGTGCTCAGCTTGGGAGGGGCTGTCCCGCCTACCTGCTCAATTGGTTGACTGCAGAGGTGTCCAGAGGCAGGAGAAGCCCACAGGGTTCCCTTCCCGGATACTCGACCTCCCACCTGCCTGGGGACGCACAGCCCTGGGCACCAGTGTCTGCCACCTCCTGCCAGTGATAATTTCTGAGATGGCCTGGCCTGTGCAAGGGGCCTTTCCAGGCAGGCAGCCAGGGGTGGCCGCGTGAGGAGCCTGCCCCCACCTTCCATCGCACCCGTCCCCTCTGAAGCCAGGCTCCCACGGTGGTGGGAAAGGGAAACCGGACCCAGTGGAGTCAGGTGGGGGAGCAGGGTCGGGCTCCCGGGGCTGCCGAGAGCTGAGCTGCCAGGCGGGGAGCGAGTCGGTCCCCCTCCTGGGGGCGCTCCCTTCGCGCAGATCTGGGCTTGGAGGAGGGAGGGGCACCG